GATTTTACAACCTGCTTGACTCTGTGATAGAGTTCTTGGCAACTAAAGATACAGAATTGCGCAATATGCTCATTACATCAAAGAATGATATAGCTTACATGACAGACCTGTATAAATTGTTCAACGACGTGAATCTCCAACTGCAAGGCGATGAACTAAATTTAATTAAAACAAAAAAATGTCGTTGCTGCTTTCGCAGCCAAACTGCTTCTACACAAAAAGAATATGGGCAGACGTGAGTTTCACAATTTTCCGAATTTATCAGTATCATGCAGTAACAACGACTTGTTTGCCTACTGCCAACATTTGGAAAACCTCCACATTGACTTCATCGAACGATATCAGGACATTTTGAACTTGGAAATACCAGACTGGGTGTTGGATCCGTTTTCAAATGTCAACACAGCAATATCACCTCAGCTGGAAGAAGAACTTATAGAATTGACAACGAACGAAAAAATCAAGTTCAAAAATGGTTACCAAGAATTTTGGCTACAAAAACCGATCCCGCAATTGTGCCCTGGATTGTGGTCAATCGTTCAACGATTCTTGATAGCAATCCCATGGTCATATTTGTGTGAACGTGGTTTTAGTTCTGTGACAACGCTGCTTACTAAAAAGAGAAATCGTTTGCATGTTACCGAACGTGGTTATTTGAGTAAATTCTGATATCAACAAACTTATTAAACAGCATCAGATTTATCCTTCACATTAGTTTTTATATTATAATCGACTATGTTTGTTTTATTTTGAATAAAAGATACTGTGTCTGAATACTATAAAGTTGCGTTTCAATAATCATTCTCATTGGCAGGTGCAGCCCGTAAGAGTGAACTTGTGACCTGAGCGCCGTTGTGTACCTACTACCTACTGTGCTCAGGTCTCAAGTTAACTCTTGCGGGTTATAGTAAAAGTCTCGTGTTTGTTTGTTATTATAAATGTTTAATCTCCGCTAATATAGCAACCAATAATTAATTTAATTTGAAGTTATAGTGGTTTTTAAATAGGTAAAAAATTGGGCTAAAAAATAATTTGTTCTCAAAGTGGGCAGTAGACAAAATAAGTTTTGGAAGCCCTGCTTTATAATATGCAATTTATAGTTTCAGATCCTTTCAGCGATGTATCAAGATAAGCTTGGATAAATATAAAGCAATAATAAGAATAATAGTTATTATTGATATATCAATTTTAGACTCTCGCCTTTCCCGAGGCCTAAAAGATTATTATTATTATTAAAGTTATTCTTATATAGTTATTATTTCATTTAAATCAGTTGGAAACTAAAAAAGATAATATTATGTTAATTTAGTGTTTCGCGGGCGCTCAACGTGACGCGTGCACATTTCTGAACGAAGTGAATTTACGTGAAAATAGTGTGATACATAATCTCAGTACAGAGTACTAAAAAAACCGACCTCAAAAGTACGTGGAATTACATATAATCACCAAGTTTTATTGAAATCGGTTACCGAAAAGTGCGCAAACCCGGATTCATCCCCTAGTTCGCCACTATACGAGATTATAAAAATGGGTTCTCTCTACTCTAAAGCATATTGAGAGAGAAAACCTCCTTGAATTGGAGAATAGCAAAATCAACCATTAAAATAATTGCTTTTATAATAAAATTTAGGCGCTATTTATAAAAATGAATCTTCATGCGTGAACAGCGAATAGAGGTCGATGATTTTCTTCAATATTAAATGGGACCACTATGGAGGTACCCTCTTTCTAACAAAAAAGAATCATGAAAATCGGTTCAGAAATACCGGAGTTATCGCGTAACATACATACAAAAAAAAACATAGAGTCGAATTGAGAACCTCCTCCTTTTTTCGAAGCCGTGTAAAAATAATAGTCATCTGTACATCTACAAAAAAGGCAGCAACACGTCGGGCCTAGTTTTTATATATAAGCAACAATAAAGGCTTTATGGACCGATAGATGCACGTCGCGTCCGATCGGCTGGTCTGTAAATCTTTAGGGAGGCCTATGTTCAGCAGTGGAGTCTTTCGGCTGATGATGAAAGGCTTTATGTTACCTATATGTTACGCTATGACCATCAACAAAGCATAAGGTCTATCGTTGTGTTAGCAACTCAAGAAATCTGCATTATTCCCCGACGGCTGTATGTAGGTACAAGATTATATAGGAAGTAGTAGTACTGTGAGAAATATGTACGTAACAACAAACAATTGTGTTTCTTTTTTATATTTATAGGTATTAATTATTAAGATACTCATGTGACAAACGTTTGCAAAAGGGAATCGCGGGCACAACACTAACTGTTTACGTACTAACATAATAAATATGTATGCATGTAAGCTGGCTAGCTTCAGATAATCTCAAAAAATGTGTCGTTTTATATTAAGTATAACTTTTGTATTATTACATGAATAATAAACATTATTTATATAAAGCGATCGCTTATTTATTTAGTCTGTGTTACACATAAAAAGACTACTACGCTATAGTACCTAATAAATGACAATTAAATAAGTGTTTAATTTCGCATTCTTCGGAACCGGTTTCACGTCTCCCTAATTTCAAGAAATAAAGAAAAAAGTAAACACTCGTGGAAACAGGAATATTTCTCATCGAGAATAAACTTAAATAACTTTCACGTCGAATATATACAGCGGTCAGGTCAATGGACATAACAAAGACTTTGGCACATTATATACAAATGAAGCTCGAAGAAATCCCATCGTTTCGGAAAGAACAACACTTATTGCTCTTATCATATTTACTTCCTCCCATTTTACGCGATTAGATTTTCATTTACAATTGCGCACCATATTACCTGAAAACAATAACTATGATACATTAAATATACAATTAACAGTCTGAATGTTGTGACGAAGCGTAACGGGATACTATCCCATTATATGTTTCTGAAAAAACAAGCAGTTCTGACCTATAAAATTGCATTAACTGAATTTGTATCCGATTCAATGTTTACTACCACAATAACAAATTGAAAGGAAAAATATTTCAAAAAAGGAAGTAGGTACTTTGTGCACATCTACGAAAAAGCGGAAAATTCATAAGAAATCTAGAAAAGAGATTTCTTCTTTCGGCAATAAAAAACAATAACAGTAATAGTCGTGTGCTCGTTCTGGGCAATGTTGGGCGTTAATCAATTAAATTTCAATCAATAATTCAATCAGATTAAAAAATCAATTCAATTGAAATCAATTGCAATTGATTTCAATTGAATTGATTTTAATTGCAATTAAATTTGCAATTAAAATCAATTCCGGCCGGTTAGGGGCCCCGGTTGGGAACCCCGCTTGGTGGCCCCAGTTGGGGTCCCCGGTTGGGGTTCCGGTTGGGGGCCCGGTTGGGGCCCCCGGTTAGGGGCCCGGTTATGGGCCCGGTTGGGGTCCCCGGTTGTGGCCCCCGGTTGGGACCCCCGGTTGGGGACCCGGTTGGGGGCCCGGTTGGGGGGCTTGGTTGGTGGCCCAGTTGGGGGTCGCGTTGGGGGCCCGTTTGTGGGGCCAACCGGGGCCTCCGATCGGGCCCCCAACCGGGCACCCAACCGGGCCACCAACCGGGGCCTCCAACCGGGGCCTCCGACCGGGCCCCCCAACCGGGCCCCCAACCGGGCCACCAACCGGGGCCCCAAGTGGGGTCCCAAACCGGGCCCCCAACCGTGCCCCCAACCGGGGTCTCCGACCGAGCCCCCCGATCGGGCCCCCAACCGGGCCCCCAACCGGGCCACCAACCGGGGCCCCAACCGGGCCCCCAACCGGACCCCCAACCGGCCCCATAACCTGCCCCCAGCATGCCCCCAACAGGCCCCCACAACCAACGCCCTAACTCACCACCATATGCCCTATAAATTTATCATAATTGTCAGTTTTAATTGTTAATTGTTAATCAAAAACATTGAACAGATTGAAAATTGATTAATTGTTAATTGTAGATATTTGCGATTAACGATTGATCAATTGTTAGTTTCGAGAACCACAATTAACAATTGATTAATTGTTAATTGCGGTTCTCGCAACTAACAATTGATCAATCGTTAATTGCTGTTTCGCAATTGACAATTAATCAATTGTCAATCTTTAATTGCCAGAACAATTAAATTTTGCCCAACACTGGTTCTGGGCTCGTATGTGAAGCGAGTGAAAGTCGCCCGAATGGCGCTAAAACTCGTACGTTTTCGTTGATAATTAATGATCTAGTAATTATTAGCGCATGTCCTAATTTGCCCCGGTCTCCCCTACCTACCCTACCCTGTAAGCAATAGAGCTTCTTGTGAAAGAGTTCGTCCAGGGAAGTATTACCACCTTACCTATTTCTCCCGCCAAACAGTATTGTTAACATTACTGTGTTCCGGTTTTGAAGGGTAACGGTGCTGGTGAAATTACTGGCACACGGGACTTGTCAACTTATGTCTCAGGTTGACGAGTGCAGTGGCAGTGCCCCTCAGATCTTTGCGATTTGAAGCTCTGAGTGACACTGCAACTGTTATGGACAGGCGTGTAGCATACCATCAGGCGAACGACTTATTCATCCCGTCACTTGATAATATAAAAAAAAACCTTATGCCCTAATGCACCTGGCATTGGTAGATCCTAGCATGCAGGTATTTATTATACGTAGTGTTGCAAACTTCACTAATCTGCATAAGTGTCCGTGAAGTTTCACGACGGCCATTGTCGTTATATGATAACATTATATTCAGTAAGAGTTATCATTTTACAACAACCGGCATGTATAATGTCGATGTTTAAACAAGATAGTGTCTTTGTAATCTTCGGTAACAATGCAGGGAACTAATGTTTTAAAATAAGTTAGCTTAAAGTCAAACACCATTCAGAAATCGGTCATTATGATTTGTAAAGTGCTCGTCGACGGAAGGTTTAGTGAAAATGTGGTCGAGAAATTCTTTGCTCTTTCTTTCGCTTATAGCAACGGCTACCGCGGTTACTAATGGAGACAAGAGTCACGATAAAAACCGGGGTCGAGGCCATGAACACAGTCATGACAAACAAAAAAACAACGAAAACCCCGAGGAAGCGATATTCTTTAATAGGAAGGATCTTGACAGTTTGCCGAATACGTCCGCTTCGACTAGGGCTGTGAAAGGAGAAGTGGTAGTAGAAAAATTTGTGGAAACTTTAATGTCTAGTGAGAGATATTTGAAAATGATTGAGTCTGTTGAGAGGAAAGTGAATCACCTAGACGCAACCTTCCACGAGAGAACAAATAGTATCTTAAAGTATGTTTCGGAGATGTTACGAACCATGAAGGCGGGACCAGGAGACCTGATGGAGAATACCTTGCGGTCAATAAAGACGGATCTCGATAAGCTGAAGATGTCTGTCACAGAACGATTGGAGCGTCCAACTATGCGTGGTAACTACATTTCACTATTGAGTAAAAATTCAATCGTTAATAATAATTTAAAAGTAAACCTATTTATATGAACACCTTTCATCCACAGATTCCGGTAGGTTACTGCACTATTTTATTATTATTAATCTTTCGTGAACAATATATCTTCCTGTGAGTGCTGCCGAGACCACCTTTTTTATAGTTACGTTAATTATTTAAACATTGTTTGTGCTTAATTTAATCGGAATGTTTTATAAATATTTATTCACACGTACACTGTACATACACAGATTATACTGGTAGTTAAATCCTATTTTATTAAGTGTTGAACTTATCGGCAATTTTAAGCTAAAACGCATGAAAGAAAAGCGGATGACAAGTTGATCACAAAATTTAAATGTTACATAAGTTATAATGGTGAGCTTCTGTGTATAATTGCCTTTAGGTTTTCTCTTCAGAAAAAACTCCGTAGCGTAGCCACGAGGAAGACATATAGGGATAACTAATCTTAATTAGATTAAGTTCTTAGGTTTTCGTGATTGTTACACATAGGAAATGAAACTATTTTTCCGGATTTAAATCGCGTATATTTGTTTTTTCAAACAAATTAATAACTATTTCTTTATTTATTTATTTATTCAGGATATTCCACATAGCAACACACTATACATTAAATTTGAACATTGTAACTACAGTGAAAAAGTAGGGTGGCTTGCATCAATTTTAGACATAACTGGTTGAAAACTGTACCACCTCAGTCAACCGTGACCATGGGACCTGTAAAGGGCCCGAAACGTCGGTTTGTTTGGAAAAACAAATATACGCGATTTAATTCCAGAAAAATAGTTTCATTTCTTAATTAAATTAGTTATCCCGATTTTTTAACAGTGGATGTAGTGTAGTTTTTCATTAGCCAAATACACAAGTGAATGGAATGTAAATAAGTATCTCGAACCAGAACCTTTTAGTACAAGAGCATAACTTAGACTCAATTTATATTGCCTCTGCGACCGAACGGTTACGACGCTGGTCTGCCACGCGGAGGTTCCGGTTTCGAATCCCGGGCCGCACTATGGAAAATGATAGAACAACGGCATATCAAAAACCGTTTTTACTTAAGTCGTTATTGACTATGTTTCTTATGTTGTACTATTGAATTGATTAGTTTGCGACTTAGAATAATAACGCATAGAATGATAGTTTCATAAAAAACGAACTATCACAAGTGAGGCTAAAATCAAATTCATGTAGGCGTAAACAACTTGTATTTACGCTCGTCGGCACGCACACAAATATACAAATAATGATGCCATGTAACAATTCCCTCAAAAGTGGGGAAATTGTATCTTGCTTAACTCATCATTAAGTTAGAGGTGCCTACAGATTTGCTCGATTTTGTCGATCGTTACTGTCGATCATAAGGTGCCTACAGATATGCTCGATTTTGTTGATCGTTACTGTTGATCGACAACGTCAAGTGACAGGAATTTTCAAAAATTTATTTTTAGTAATCCTTATGGAAATGGCATTTATATCTGAATACACGAAGGCGGACACGACTTTTCTCATTTCTAAATCCAAGATGGCGGACACGTCTTTTCAAATAAATGCAATATGGGAATCGTTTTCGAGGTGCTCATCACGAATATGGCATTTATTTCTAAATCCAAGATGGCGGACACGACTTTTGAAATAAATGCAATATGGGTATCATTTTCGAGGTATTTGGGGGTGCTCATTACGAATATGGCACTTATTTCTAAATCCAAGATGGCGGACATGACTTTTCAAATAATAGGAAGTTGAGTGTCGTTTTCGAGGTATTTGGGGGTGCTCATTAAGAACATGGCACTAATTTCTAAATCCAAGATGGCGGGCACGATTTTTCGAATAATGGCAAGTTGGGTGTCGTTTTCAAGTTATTTGGGGCTGCTCATTCCGAATATAGCACATATTTCTAAATCCAAGATGGCGAAGAATTAGAAGAAGAAGAATTAGAAGTCTTGTCCACCATCTTGTATTCAGATATACATGCCATTTCCTTATGGTTTACCAAAAATACATTTTTGAAAATTGTTGTCAACCATCTTGGATTTAGAACTTAATGCTACATTCGTAATAAGCACTCTAAAACTCCTCGAAAACGTCTATAATTCTCAATCGTTACTGTCGATCAACAATGTCGAGCAAATCTGTAGGCACCTTATTAAATACTAGCCAATTTTTATTTAACTCATATATGAACAAAAACCTACAAGCGAGTTTAAGTGTGACTATCGAATTTGAATATGTAAATAGCCTGATATTATCTGTGGGTACGTTTACATGAAAAGTACACGATAACAATAAAGAACCTGAACCTGAAAGTTATTTATACACGATTTTGGAGAACTGACGATGACTTTTTAGTCAGTGTTAGTTTCTTGAAATAATTTTAGTTAAGAACTTTTGAGTCTGGGCAAGACAATTTTTTTAAATGAGTGTATGAGGGACAAGAATAATGATTTTTCACATGAAACTAATGAAGGCAAATACTAAATATATTTCGTAAAAATAGCTAACGTAAATTCCCTACAATGTTGTTGCGGCGGTGTACATTTGTAGACATTTTGCAACCGTCGCGATATTGCCTATTCTCAAAAAATTACGTCATATATTTATTTTGAAACAGAAAAGCAAAATGGGGAGAAAAAACCCGTTACTTTGCAACATTTTCGTATCTTGTTGCAACGAAATTAATTTTCTGTTTTAGTGAATATTTACATAAAAATACAAGTTGAAACGCGTTACTTCCTTGTGGAATGTGATGTTAGTGTCTATTTTATATTTGTCTGATCTATTTTTAAACCCAATTACCGCACATTTCGTCATTTTTAGCCAAAGTTTTTGAGCTGTTCGCGGTGCAACTTGACCTTGAGCACTGACAGCCCGCTCGCTCGTGTAGGCCCATAGGGCGCCCTACAATTTGCCTTAGCGTGTGCGGGCTAGGTTTCTATGCGTTATTATTCTAAGGTTTGCGGTATATTTCAATAAATTATAGGTATTTATTGATAACAGGGCGTTTTGTCTACATTTTGCACTTATTTTGTGGTACTACTTTAATCAACAAAATGCACACTACCCTCATTTATGAAATTATATAAGAAGAGTGAATTAATTTAATAAAGCTATTACAAATTGATAATAAAACTAAACAGACGTTTGATTATTACGTATCATCACTGAATTTCAAAATGTCAAATTCTTTCAAGTGTTCCAAGCGTGAATTATTACTCTCATACATTGAAGGAGGAATAAAACTTTAAACCCTATCAACAGTTTTAAAATAAAACTATCATGTTTCTGAAGACAACATGTGTTTTATTATCAGTGATGTTCAAAGGAATCTCATTCCTTCCTTTAATAAACGATGGGCAGAAGCGTCCAGGAAAAAGGATTCGTTTCTAAAAAAGAACGAAAATTGGTTGGATTCTGAATATTTGGTAACCTTACCGAGCATTGAAGAAGTAACACCTAACATCACGCCATCACTTCTTCTGGGAAACGCGGAAGACCCTGTGTCTCTTATGGAGACTCATCAGAATCAACCAAAAAACGAAAAAATACCGCGCTATTATTGAATATGGCTTTGAACACATTTGCAATGCCTATGTTCAGGGCTTACGTTCAATAGGAGAAGAAATAGAAGCAAAATTCGTGGAAAAACTAAGGTTTGCTGACCGTAATGATACGGTCTCTATATTTGAATCTCATAGAAAACGCAAGTGAAAGCAAAATGCTAATGGATCAAGAAGCATTGAGTGTTTTCATTGACTTCGATTTAACGAAAGCACAATATATATACTTAAGGAATTTAACAAACGAACGAGACTGTGTTCTATTCCCACCATTTTATAAAATACAAGAAATCAAACAGACATGTTATTCACCATCTACAGCAATAGAAATTACAAATACACATGCAAAAGTACTAAACCTTCAAGATTTATTGGACCACACTGTAGCTAGGATTTTGGCCATAGATTCGGTGTATAAGAATGGATTGTGTCATTTAGTTTTATACAGTAAATGGAGATGTGATGGTTCATCTGGTCAAAGTCAGTACAAACAAAAACTTCCAGAGGAGTCTGAACTTGTTTCTGATGCAAATTTATTTATTACGTCGTTAGTGCCTATTAAATTAGTCAATGAGCTTACTGGCGACATTGTCTGGCAAAATCCAGTGCCTTCGTCAGTCCGTTTTTGTCGGCCCATATCGATAGAAATTTGTAAAGAAACTCCTGAAAAAACTAAAGCTGTTATGGATGAAATAAAGAACCAAATAATTTCCTTGCGGCCATCATTAATTAATAAAGAAGGTGAAGGAGTGAATGTGAAGCACGAACTCTTTCTGACTATGATAGATGGCAAAGTAGCTCAAGTATTAACAGATACACCATCTGGATCCACGTGTACAATCTGTGGAGCTACTCCACGGCAAATGAATGATCTGACTAAAGTCACTAGTAGGCCAGAAAATGAAAATGCATATCAATACGGACTTTCCACATTGCATGCCTGGATTCGTAGTATGGAAATGGTATTACATATCTCATATAATCTTTCTTTTCGGACATGGTCAGCCACAAGTGAAGAAAAGAAAAGACAAAAGCAAGAAAAGAAAACCCTAGTACAAAAACTTTTTCGGGAGGAGCTATGATTGATCATCGACAAACCACGACAAGGAAGTGGTAATACCAATGACGGTAATACTGCTAGACGATTCTTTCACAACGCAAATTGTTCTTCTGAAATCACCGGAGTGGATGTGAATTTGATCAAAAGGTTGTATATTATTTTACAAGCTCTTTCATCAGGCGTAATGATAAATGCAGAAAAATTTGGCAAATATGCCATGGAAACTGCCAGGATTTATGTAAGTAATTATGAAAGGTACTACATGCCATTTTCAGTACACAAAATTTTGATTCATGGTGAAAGTGTCATTAAGCATTTTGGTGTAATTCCTATTGGTCAACTTTCCGAAGATGCACAAGAATCCCGTAATAAGGATTATAAAAAATTTCGCCTACATCATGCCAGGAAGTGCTCTCGTTCAGCTACAAATGAGGATGT